ATTTAAGTTACAATTTCCATATTTAGCTTTGCTAAATATCAGTTTTCTCATATATAAATATTGTAAAAATTGTGAAAAAAAAGGACCAGGCATTTGTACTTCCACAATGATCTGTTTTGGATATGGGTTATCCACTGGGACGGAGGGGATGAATGTGAGCATAGCATTCCTTTTAACAGGGACAAACCTCACCTCTGAAGTATCAGTTTCCAATAAACTTGGAAGCTGGAGAACTAAATACTTAAATCCTGCAAGGCAAATCAGGTTAGTGTACCATGGAATCACTTTAAATACTAACACTATTCTATAATACTCACAAGGATGTCAAGAGTACCAAATAAGACAGAAGAACGTATCTTAACAGGTGCTATAATAATACCAGAGCCCTGGTGCACAAAATTCATGCATGAGTGGGGTCTCTAGGCCTGGCCATTGTCAGGGCTGATCAAGTTCCCCACCTTCCCACCTCCTTCTTCCCTCACTGCCCACATGCTGCCAATGCCTGGTTCCCTGCCTCCCTGCATCCCTGCTGCCTCTTTCCCTTACCACCCACTTGCCACCACTGAGTGGTTCCCCACCTCCCCACCTTCCTCTTTCCCCACTTCCCCCTGGCCTCTCTCTCTTCTCCTTCCCTTGCTACCCATGTCCACCACCACTCACCCCCCATCCCCTATCCTAGCTCAGGGCCCAGCCCTGATCAGGTGACCAGGACCTGCCAGCTGAGGGGAGGACTATGAGGTTGGCTGACAGGCTTTGATCGATGATTGTGCCTGCCAGCTGAAGGAGGAACAGGGGGAGGAACCTGGGAGGTTGGCCACTGGCCCCAAGGAGGAAGCTGGCCCTTGACTCCCCCCACCCCCCACCCCCCAGGAAAGAGGCTGTGTCCACTGTAACCCACCCCTGGTTCCTCATCCCAGACCAGTGCCCCAGCCCATATAGGGCGATTGTGGTCTCCTGGCTGGGGGAGGGACCAGGAGGTTGGCCTGCAGGCCCCATTGGTGATCAGGACCTGCGGGTTGGGGGCAGCTCCTTCACTGAGTATCTGTCCCCTGGTGGTCAGTGCACATCATGATGATCGGTCGTTCCAGTCATTCCAGTCATTCTGGTTGTAACAGTTGCTTAGGCTTTTCTATATATACATATCTATATACCTATATACCTATATACCTATATATCTATACATCTATATACCTATATACCCATATACCTATATATCTCTAGATCTCTATCTCTTTCTCTATCTCTATATCTCTATATCTATATATCTATATCTATCTATATATCTATATAGATGACTACAGCAGCAACAATGGGGGAATATTTTACTGATTTTGTGAATTAATTGGAATATTTTGAGGGTAATAATCAGTGTATTTTAACTTTTTAATCTCTATCCCTCCCAAAAATCTTGGAGCCAAAGACTTATTCCTTTCCATTGCTTAATTGGTACATTGGTTCTCCATCTGCCTCCACTTCTTAGGTGATTTAAGAAGTCTGTCACAAATCTAAATCCACATCCCCAGCCTTGATCCCTAACTTGAGTTCCAGATTTTCATATTAAATTGACATCCTGGCATCTAAGGACTTTGGGCACATTAAAGGATTAAGAAATTAGTGTTATTTACTTAGCTCTCATACTCAGACATCTATAAAATAATCACGCCTTTTGTACTATAAGGAGGGACTGCATCTTAGCATCATATTTACATGTTCTTGGGCTTAAAATATTCTTCTCCATGTTAAATTATAAATGGTATTTTATGTTATATTCCCTTAGTTTGTGCTTGGAACAAGAAAATGGACACCTTTCATATCTTTATTTACTCATAATATAAACAAAAACTGTTTGTTGATATACCAAAAAGCTTCACATATTTAATGTATACAATTTGATGAGTTTGAACATATGCATACATCAATAAAATTGTTTAAAAAATCTATTAATGAAAAAACTGGAATGGAACATACTGAATAATGGAGATAAAGAAGGTAAGAAAACACAAACACAAAGTTCCTGATCTCATGAAACTTGTGTTCAAATAAGGGAGACTTTATTGTCTATACCAAATGTGTATGTATGTATGTATTTATGCACACACACACGTGTGTGTGTGTGTGTGTGTGTGTGTGTGTGTGTGTGTGTGTGTGTTTGATATTGATATGAGTTGTACTTTGAAGACAAATAAAGCAGGCAATAGAATAGAGAACGGTGGAGTCAGAGAAGAGCTTCCTGTGGAAATTACATTTGATTGATACCTAAATAGGGATAATATCATGTGAATGTCTGTAAAAGGACATTATAGGCATGATACATTAAATACAAAGGCCAGGGGAAAGATTATGTTTGGTTAGCTAAAGGAATAGTAAGGAGATAAATATATGTGGACCAGAGTGAGCAAATGACAGGAGAAAAATAACTGACATTAGAAAGGTGTTGTGAAGGAACAGTAGGTCACATTATAGGCCATAGACAGGCTTTCAACTTCATTATTTTCATATCACCCAATAATAGCAGTTCTCGCCCAACTCTAAATGCAAGATATGAGGAAGTGACAAGATTGATTTTGCTGCCTACTCTAAGTACCAAAGACATTGTCTGCTCCATTAAACACAATCACTATATCTTATTGAATGAATTGATTAATGAATGCAGTAAGAATCATATTCTAGTATAAATAAGTAGAGATCATATCTTGAGTGAAATTTGAGGGTTTGAGACAAGCTAAGGTCAGTTGTTTACCACTTAATTAATTGTTATGCTCAATGGAATCTTAGGATCATAACATTATTTTTTTTTTGGTGTGCATTTCTCTAAATACCTAAGTTACCCCCACCCCCCACAGGGTATACATGATTCACTGGGGAAGATGTAGTTCAATTATTTCAGGGAAAAATAAATGCAAGCTTTAATTTTGGATCAGCACATTGCTAGCCTTAGACTTTTGTGAGACTAAATCTCATGAGACTGATCATAGCTTTTATAAAGGTGACTGACTCTCTGCCTCGAATTCAGTAATGGCATTTTCTAATCTTTGTTGAATTCATGATTTAATTTTATCAAAGCTATTAACATCACACTAGGAAACAGAAAACGTGTATTCACCCAACAAACAACAACAGCAAAAAAAAAAAAAAAAAAAAAAAAAAGGTAAATTAACAAGCACCACTATTTCCAGTGAATATTTCTTTAGGACAAAAGGTAAGATGATTTCATTTATCTCAAAGTGTTCAGATATAGAAAGTTTCTAAGAGGACTCAAAAAACATTCAAGTAATTGAAAATAAACATCTCTTTTGTAATATGTCTGACACACTGAATTTATTGTTAGCAACTAAATTAATGTGATTGTTTTAGAAGAGAGGAATTTAGGACCACTAGTAACAGATGAGAATTTTATAGATATTTAGTATATGCATATATATGTGTGTGCAAACAAAATTGAATTAAGTTTGTGTAGAAAGAGTGCCAAAATGCCTGACATATTTATTGCCTTCAAAGGCATTAAATAAAATAATTTCATGCTCTTATATGTATGAATTGAGAAAATGCTTATAACTTTCAGCCTTCATCAAATGTATATGTACACATGTATGTGTGTATGCACACATATAGGATCATACATATTACAGACAATATAATTTTATTTATGTCAATTTATATGTTTGTTACATATGTAATATATATATATATATATGCATAAAGCAGAACTCTATGAAATGGCTGCAAAATTTTAAAAGTGTTATTTACAAAAAAGAATTTATTTGATTTTAGGAACAGAAAGATCAGCTAAGAGGCTATTGCAATAATCTAGATGAAAGATGATGTTGTCTTGGGCCTTGGTAGTAGGAATGGAGGTGGTGGAAGGTAATTGGCTTATTAATATATTTTGAAAATAGAGACAACATATTTATTTGATAAAATGGTATGTGTTAGATAGAGAAGAGATCAATATTTCCAATATCTATTTGTAATAATTTGAGCAAATGGAACTATAGAGTTGTCATTGATTTGACATATGAATGCTGTGTTTAGAGCAAATTAAGAGAGAACATAAATAATTCAATTCAATTTTGGGTGCTGTTGAGTTGCTATTCCATATTAATTCAGATATATAAGAAGTTTCTTTTAAGTCTGGAGTTGGGAAAAGAGGTAAAGTCTGGAGATATAAATTTAGGTGTTCTGAATATATAGATGATATTTAAAGCAATGATATTGAATAAAACCATTAAGGTCAAGTATAATTAGAATAGAAAGGAGAATGAGGACTGAGCCCTGAAGTATTCCAACCTTAAGAGTCAGAGGAAAGAAGTGGAAGAAGACTGAGAAGGAGCAACCCATATGGTGGGAGGAAAACTCCCAGTCTGGTGTTCTGGAAGATTAGAAAAGAACTCTTTCAAGGAGTAATAATAAACTCCATCAAATGTTATTGATAGATTAAAAAAAAAAGGTGAGGACTAATTGACCACTGGATTTGGCAAAAATAAAGATTCCTGATGACTTAGGCAAGATCAGTTTCCATGGGTAATGTGGTCAAAACCAGATTTGAGTGGGCTTAACAGAAAATAGAAAAGAATACAGCAAGTACACTTAACTATCATATTTTAAATTGCCAATGAGAGTGCAAAGGAATTGGATGGTAGCTGGTGAAGACAGAAGGATCAAGGGAAGAAGAGAGAAAGTTAGTAGGTAAGGTAGGACATAGACTAATAGGGGTCAATCATTGAAAACCACACACACACACACACACACACACACACACACACACACACACACGTTAAATATTAAATAAAATAGGTTCCTGAGTTTCCCTAAGGAAACTTTTTCTTAGTGCAATAAGAATAAAAAGAGGTTTGAAACGTATTTTCTTAAGACATCTTATAAGCAATTTTACTTTTAGCAGAGAATGAGCTATTTGATTTTCCTGGTGTTTTTCTGGACAACTGATTTTCTTGATTTCTTTCTTATCCCAGCAAATGAAGTATCCATTTTGAGACAAAAGTATGAGCAACGATTCAACAGTGACTGAATTTGTACTCCTGGGATTCAGCAATCATCCAGAGCTACACTCTCTTCTTTTTACGGTGTTTCTGGTCATCTATATTATCACTGTGTTTGGGAACCTTGGAATGATCGTATTAATCAGTATTGACTCACGTCTCCACACTCCAATGTACTTTTTTCTCAGTAACTTGTCCCTGGTTGATTTCTGTTATTCTTCTGTCATTGCCCCAAAAATGCTGGTGAATTTTTGGGTGGAGAAACCAGTCATTTCATTTAGTGAATGTGCCACCCAATTCTTCTTTTTTGGTTCTTTTGCTGGTATCGAAGGTTTCCTGTTGGCTGTGATGGCTTATGACCGGTACGTGGCCATCTGCAAGCCTCTTCTTTACACGGTCACTATGTCCCCTCATCTTAATATCATGTTGGTGTTGGCCACATATCTTGTAGGCTTTATAAATGCTTCCATTCACACTGGCTTCACCTTCCAACTGTCTTTCTGCCGTTCAAATGTCATCAACCACTTTTTCTGTGACACTCCACCCCTCCTGAAGCTCTCTTGTTCTGACACACTTGTCAACGAGATTGTCATTTTTGCTTTTGCCAGTTTTAATGAACTGAGCTGCCTTCTAACTATTCTCATTTCCTATCTCTACATCCTTGCTGCCATCCTGAGGATCAATTCTGCCACAGGGAGGCACAAAGCCTTCTCCACCTGTGCGTCCCACTTGATAGTGGTCACCATCTTCTTTGGCACAATCTTGTTCATGTACCTGCGCCCCAGTTCCAGTTACTCAATGGATCAGGACAAAGTGGTGTCTGTGTTTTACACAGTGGTCATCCCCATGCTAAATCCTCTCATCTATAGTCTGAGAAACAAGGAGGTCAAAGCTTCTTTAGGTAAAATTTTTAAAACAACCTCTTTTTACTTCAGTGCTTAGATTTGCAAAACATGGAGTTTTATCACACTGAGGGAATGTAGAAATGACAATTCCATCTTCATTCATTCCAGCTCTATTTTATTCTACAATGAGGCTATTTTTTTTCTGATAGTGGAGTTGGACCAAATGCCCCAGGCATTGGGGGAGCATGATGACACTGTATAAATCCCACTTATTTCATAGAATTGATATGATTGAAAATAATCCAATATCCATATTCAGAGTTATAAAGCCAAATATAAAAGTAGGTGGGACTGAGAAAGAATGAGTGATGTGAGAAATGACTCCATCTCCTCACCTGATTGATGATTTTGAGATTGAACAGTGGTGTTTTAACTGCCAGAAGACAGGTGATAAGGAATAGGCTGAGCCAGAACATATCCAGAGGACTAAAACCAGGCGAAGAGACTGCCTCTTGTCCCCAGTGAACCAGAAAGAAAAATCTGAACTTAATCTCCAATCATGTGCCGAGGTCAAGTGTTTTTAACCAGGGCAAGTAATCTAGATGACTGAGGGAATGATGGGAACAAATTACAGCATAAGTAAAGATAAGAAGGAATCACAGGACAAGAACGAGGCTCTGGAGCAGAAGTTTCTGAGACTTACAAAAGAAGTATTCTTTATAATTTCTGAAGATGAAGTGTCATGTTGTTTGATCTTTGAGTAAGCACAGTAAACTTAAAGAGCTAAGGCAAGTTCTTTGTCTATTTTTCTGCTGGCTACAATATAATTGAGACAAGTTTTCTTTACAGAAAGTGACCACTGACATGCCAACAGAATATGTTTTAAATTGGCTAGGATTGGATATAATACTATACTAGGTGTGATTCCAGCATATCCCTTTGCCATTGAAAGACAAATAGATCCTAGTACAAAAGCAGACACTTAAAAGAGATGAAGTAATCATTTGAAAACTTTTATTGGTGGTTTATTATGGAGTTATGGAACTGTGACAGCAGCTATGAAGACGTTCTAAGAATCATTCCAATTAAAGATGCAGGATGATGGAAGACAAACTGTTGCTTTTGGCATCTGAAATGTAAAGTGCCCAATAATGACAATTTCATAAAGGCAGTGTTAGAAAAGTTCTCTTATTCTTGGTTAGGTTATCTGTTAGACAATTAAAAACAAAAAGCTGTATTATCTTCTTTGAAACTAAACATTTTAATAAACAGATGATATTTCAGTGTCTTATATCTGTCATTTTACAAAAATGTGATTTTAACATATAATAAAAGAGTATTCAGGACGGTTTTCCATGAAGGAAAAAATAGTTCAAATCAACAAACATACCTGGAAAACTCAGTGGCCCCAGCGCCCTCCACTCACCCCTCTGTCCATATTATGGGTCCACTTATTCTCTTTCACAGACTTTTCACATTCTGGCCTAGAATTTACATTGCAGGCAAGGCTGCTTCTCTTTAGAAAGGACAGCTGTTGCCTGAAATGGATCAAATGTTTATTGTGTTGTCAACTAAGAATATCCAAACCTGTAGAGAATTTTTATGAGTTTATTTTAGCCAAACTAACAACATTGCCAGGAAGCAAGATTTCAAAAGTTCCAGAGAGTGACAGTTTTGCTTTATTTATACATTTGGAATTAAGGAGGGAACATAAGGAAGATTACAGGAAAGTGGAACAAAGGAAGGCGCAGACTCAGTAAGACTATATGCTCCCTGAAGGGTAGTGACACCTCTCAGGGGTGTGAAAAAGAAGATGACTGGTATTTCAAAGAGGAGTTAAATTAGATGCAGAAGAACAATGGACAGGGCTTGGTTTAGACAAAGATAAACCTTTCACTAAAGAAGTTCAGCCCTGACTGCTTTGGCTCAGTGGACTGTCAGCCTTCAGACTGAAGGATTCCAGGTTCCATTCCAGTCAATACATTAAATACATACATACATACTTGAGGGCAAATTTTCATCAGAGTGAAAGAAGGCATTCTGCTTAAAGAGGGGTCAAATATTCAGTCATTTTGTGTAAAATAAGGAAACCTCACATTAAAGAGACAAAAAATAAGGACTCTGCAATCCTACATTGGGGTATACAATTCTACTAGAAACATATTTTTCATGGGATTTAAACAGTAGATTTTCTTCTTTAAATGTTATTATTTTACTAGTGTAAGGAATCAGGATAGAACAGAGAAAAATTTTCTATGTCAATTAAGAAAAAAAATGTGGCAACGCTTAAATCTTTTCAAATGTGATAAAGTGATAACCTACATTTTTACTAGTATAAAGAGGCCTGGTGCATGAAATTCATGCATAAAGGGGGGTTCTTCAGCCTGGCCTGCACCCTCTCCAATTTGGGGCTCTTTGGGGTTGTCTGATTGCTGTCAGACATTTCTCTCACAATCTCTCACAACCTCTCACAACTGGCTCCTAACCACTCACCTGCCTGCCTGCCTAATCATCCCTAACCCCTCTGCCTGCTGGCCTGATTGTCCCTACTTTGCTCCCCTGCCAGCATGATCACCCCTACTTTGCTCCCCCTTTGGCCTGATTGCTCCTACTTTGCTCCCTGCCTGCCTGATCACCCCTAACCTCTCTGCCTGCCTACTTGATTGCCCCTAACTGCCCTCCCTTGATTGCCCTTAACTGCCCTCTCCTGCTAGCCTGATTGCCTCTAACTGCCCTCCTCTGCCAGCCTGATTGCCCCTGATTGTCCCTAACTGCCTCTGCCTTGGCCCCTACCACCATGGCTTTGTCTGGAAGGAAGTCAGATGTCTGGAAGATGGCCGGGTCAACCTGGTCTAATTAGCATAGTATGGATATTATTAGTATAGATAGATTATATAGGATAGGATTGCTCAAATTGGGGGGGGGGCGCTTTTTCAGCAGGAGGAGATGCTCTTGGCAGACAATAGATCAAAAGTAGCCCTGAGCTGAGCAGCTGGGAGAGCTATACGATAGGATATCTCCAGCCGGCACAAGTGGGAGAAAACCATAAGATAAATCAAAAGTGACTCCCACCTAAACAGATGAGATGACAAAATTAGGAAAATTGTGGAGGTGGGGGTTGTGGGAGCTGATTACAGGGCTAAAGCCCCATGTAGAAAAGGAGGGTCTCTAGCCTATTTAATGCCTCAAGACAAAGAAAGAGTGGTTACCCTTCTTAGAGGACCCTCTGTCCCTCCAGAAGGGACAGAGTCTTAGGATTAGGAACTTAGAGGACACCTTTCTTATGTGGCCCCTCTGCGCCAAGAGGACAGAGTTTTAGGCTTAGAATTGAGAATTAAGGTTTTAGAGGTAGTATTTGCTTGCAGGAAAGTTTCTGGACTTTTTAACTACCACCTTTTGTCCGTGGCTTCATTCTTTGAATCCACCTGGAACAGAACCCAGGAAAGAAATCAATTTTGCATCCTGCTAAATAAAACAACCCAAATCAGTGATATATAGCTTTATCTCAATGACTGATTTCTCATCCTGTAATCCATTATTTGGAGATGTAACAAAGTCAGAGATACATCTCCTATCTTAGTCAGACTATATTTGAACTCTTTACTGACCTGAAATCATCAGTGCTCTGGAAGATACAGACCGAAGAAAACATCTGAAGAGCCTTTATTCTCCAGAAAATGCAGCTCCAAATAATGTTCAAATAGTCTTTATTCTATTTTCAACCTTCCTCCTCAAATATCAATTTTATGAATGATCTTGGCTCTCAGACCCACTTTAATTCCTAACTTGTTGATGAAATTAGCTTAGTGGAACAAACTGGTTTCAGTATAAATTCATAATGTTCAAGTTTCAAGGGTCCTCACCCCTGGCCAGTACCTCTACTTCCTTCCATTGGTTATGTGACTCTTCTGCTCTCAACACTTTCTGTTCCCCAAATTTCTCACGAACTTCACCTTCCTTTTCCTCACTCTCATGATATGACCTCACCTCAGTGTTTAGAAATACTGAAGACTTCTGATGAACATCTTTTCATCAGAATCCTCTCAGGATGGTGGGGGTGGGCTTGAAGAGGTCAATGGGAGGTAAGGGGAACATATGGAATACTTTCAATAATAAGGATTTTAAAAGTACAAAACTTATCTATGCACATTTTCCTCCTTTCATAGTATTACCTGATGGCTAATTATTCTATTTGTGCTAAATATTTCCATGTGCTCAGTCCCAAGCAGTGTACATAGATTTAGAGACTTTGGCCTCAATAGAGAAATTAGGATCTCAAAGCCCCAAATTAAGGTTGTGCCCTTGAGAAAAAAAAAATGATGACTTTAATTGGTTCTTTCTAATTATTTTATAAATACTCTAGGGAATGTACACAAGAAATATATTATAAATATTCTCATCTTGTTTTTATAAAAATGATAAATCAACTTTTAGAGGTGGGTCATTTTCCATGTTTATTCACTAAAAATATGTTTGCTTTACAGTGTGGAAATCAGTACCTCACTAAAATAGAAAACTATTTTCAACAATTATGCTTGGTTTTTTTATTGATATAATATTTCATAACATGTCTAAAATTCCATTATTATATGCAAGGTCTTTTGATGTGTATGTAAAAGCTAAATAAAATAACTGTATGGTGCAATTCTTAAAGCACATTTTTTTTTTCTAGTCATATCCTAGTTTTACAAAGAATTGATAGTGGTTTCAAGAGTAAGTGAAACTCTGCTAGCTGAGCTTTCCTAGACAAATATTTTCATATGTGTGTTAGTTGTGCAGAAACTGGGAATATTCCTCATTCTTCTCCAGATATTTGCACTCTGTTCACATTTTTATCTTCTCAGAATAGCCATCTAAAAGCATCCCATCTTTATTTTTCTTCCTAGTACTTGCTTCTGACATTATTTACACATTTTTCTCTATGTGTTGTACCTTTTCCTACAATATATGCTACATGAGGATGGGGAATTTGGTCACTGCTGTAACCCCAGAACCTTAACCAGAAAAAAAAAATTAATCTTTGTAATGTACATGAATAAATGGGTGATTTCACAAA